TTGGACACCTCTAGGGTTGGAGGAACCACCTCCAGGGATGGAGAAACCACCTCCAAGACCACCTAGTGAATCACCCACTTGACCTTGAAGCCCCTTTTCCATCCCACCCCACAATCTGAAGCCCCCAAACCTTCTCTCCTCCCCCTTCTCTCCCAACATCCTCCCTCCTTCTTCTCCTCTGGTTCCTCCACCTTCTCCCACCTCTCATGGTTTCTCCACCTTCTTCCCACCCATGTCCCACCACAGGTTGGCCCCCCACACCCACCCCAACCCCCACCGCAGCCTCCTGGGCACCGGCAACTACGACGTCAACGTCATCATGGCCGCCCTGCAGGGCTTGGGGCTGGTGGCCCTTTGGTGGGACAAACGTCGGTGAGACCCTCACCCAACCCCCTCCCCCCTTCCTTGGATAGAGTTGGGTTGATTGAGTTGGGTAAGTTGGGTTGAGTTGGGTTGGGTTGAGTTGGGTTGGGTTGGGTTGAGTTCAGTTGAGTTGGGTTGGGTTGGGTTGAGTTCAGTTGAGTTGGGTTGGGTTGGGTTGAGTTCAGTTGAGTTGGGTTGGGTTGGGTTGAGTTCAGTTGAGTTGGGTTGGGTTGGGTTGAGTTCAGTTGAGTTGGGTTGGGTTGGGTTGAGTTCAGTTGAGTTGGGTTGGGTTGGGTTGAGTTCAGTTGAGTTGGGTTGGGTTGAGTTCAGTTGAGTTGGCTTGGGTTGGGTTGAGTTGCCCCCCCCCCTTCCTTGGGGGTTCTCCAACCCCCAGTCTCACCCCGTGTCCCCTCCCCAGGTCTCTGGAGCAGGTGGTGTTGGGGCAGGTCTTGGGGTTCATCCTGAACGTCCCCTCAGGGGTGACCTTGGGGACCTTCACGTTGCCCCTTCGGCGTCAGCACTGGGTGGCCGTGAGGGAACTCCAGGGGACCTTCTACAACCTGGACTCCAAGCTCCGGGAGCCCGTGGCCATCGGGGGGGAGGCAGAGCTCAGGTGGGTGGACCTTGGAGGTGACCTCAAGGTTGGGGGCCCTTCCAAACCTGCTGGGGTTCCAGGGATGGGTCATTCAGGACGTTCCATCCCTGGAGGTGTCCAAGGTTGGGTGGGGTTGGGTGGGAGGTGGTGGGACTGGATGGGCTTGAGCTCATGGGATGGTTTGGGTTGGAAAAGACCTCCAAGAGCACCTGGATGATCCACTAGATGATCCTCAATTGAGGTGGTTCCTCCAACCCTGGAGGTGTCCAAGGGCAGGTTGGAGCCACCTGGGCTGGTGGGAGGTGTGAGGACTGGATGGGCCTTAGGTCTTGGGATGGTTTGGGTGGGAAAAGACCTCCAAGAGCACCTGGATGATCCACTGGTCGTGGTTGGTTGGGTTGGGTTGTGGTTGGTTGGGTCAGGTCATGATTGGTTGGGTCAGGTGATGGTTGATTGGGTCGGGTCATGGTTGGTTGGCTTGTGGTTGGTTGGGTTGAGTCATGGTTGGTTGGGTTGGGCCATGGTTGGTTGGGTTGGGTTGTGGTTGGTTGGGTCAGGTCATGATTGGTTGGGTCAGGTGATGGTTGATTGGGTCGGGTCATGGTTGGTTGGCTTGTGGTTGGTTGGGTTGAGTCATGGTTGGTTGGGTTGGGCCATGGTTGGTTGGGTTGGG